AAGAAAGAAAGAAAGAAAGAAAGAAAGAAAGAAAGAAAGAAAGAAAGGGGAAGGAAATAAAATAAACCTATCACCAAAAAACATCAGAGCTACTGTTTATATATTATGGTGACAATCCAACTATGCTTCAAGTCACTGGAGTATCTCCTATAATAGCTCCCATAGGGGTATCACTCCAGGTATTCAGAATCAAGGAAAGGAAGTAGGGAGAGAGAAGACTCATGCTGAACTCAGGCCATAAGGTCTGTCCCCAGTCTATGTCTGTACCCTGAACTCAAGAGTCCTCTGAGATAAGAACCTTTGGTGGCTTTCTGCCGCTGAACACCTTCTGTGTTTTCTCTTCTCTGGTGCCCTTTTCTTAGATGCTATGTTGTCTTGGAGCAGTTCCAGTCTTTCCTTAGAATAACTAATATAAATAAGGCTAGATCTTCATCTTTCTTTTCACTGTGTACCCATTGAAACTTGTCCAGAACATGCTTCCAGTGTAGCCTCTCTAACACTGATTTTTTTTTTTTTATTAACACATGATTCTCAGATATGGTCCTCATCCTTCAGAATCATGACAATTCTCCCAATGTGCTGAAACGTCAAAACTTCCTTCTATTTTTAAGGGCATAGACCTTATTTTTCCAATGACTTAAGACTATTCCTAATAATAATAGTAACCACAATAATAGCTAACACTTATATGATACCTACTATATATCAGGCCTTTTCCTACCAGCTTTAATCCTCACAGCAGCCAAACAATATAGAAATTATTAACATTCACATTTTACAGATGAATAAACTGAAGCACTGGAAGGTGAAATTAGTCATCAGTGACAGAATCCGTATTCAAACTCAGGTATTTGGGTGCAAGAGTCTGCAATCTTAATCAGTAAGCAAAATTGAGCAAAATGTTCGTGACATTACTCGCTTCTAATTTTTTGTTATCACCAATCTCTTTTTTTTTTTTTACTGAAAAATGATCATAGGTCATCAGATTGGTGTTTGCCAAGTTGCCTTTTCCATGTGACTCAAGTTGAAAAAAACTTACTGAAACCACAACACTGAATGATAAGATGTTTGTAAACATGGCGTATGTCTCCAATCTCTACCTCCCAGTGCCTGGCAAGGTTCCTGGCGTGTAATCGAAACTAGAGAGAGACGAAAGGGAAACTGGGAAAGAGAAGGGTGGGAGAGGAGGGAGGGGGAGGAGGGAAAGGGTGGCCAGATGGGAGACATGTATTTGTTGACTGATCCAGTATCAGTAATAGAATGACCTGGCAGGCAATCTCTGCCCTAAGAAAAGGAAGTGCTTGAGGGTCTGGGTGGCTCGGTCAGTTAAGTGTCAGACTCCTGATTTTGGCGGCTCAGGTCTGATCTCAGTGTCATGAGGTTGAGCCTGAGAGTGAGCTCACTGCTGGGCGCTGGGCAGGGAGTCTGCTTGAGGATTCTTCTCTCCCTCTGCCTCTGCCCTTCCCCTTCCACACACACATTCCTCCCTCCCCCCAAGCATGTTCTCTCTTGAAAGAAAGAAGGAAGGAAGGAAGGAGAAGTATTTGGTGCTATTTTACCAAGGGCCCAGAATGCTTTTATTTCATTTGGAGTCTCAAAATACCTTTTTCATTGTCTTTTTAGTTGTTTGGTTTTGTTTGTTTGTTTGTTTGTTTTTCTCTTCCAATACACATAAATGAAGGGACTAAAAGAAAATGTAAGAAGATGCTATCCTACAAGATTTCAATACCTTGGACTCAGAATATTTTGAACAAGTTCAGAAATAATATACACAGCAAGACTAGCAATAGAGCCTTTCCTACCACTGTGCTTTACCAATATAGCCCAAGGTTTCTTATGCA